AGCTGCTGGAGCTGGAGGTGCTGCGGGTACTGGAGGTTCTGTTGCTTTTGAGGGAGCTGGTGCCACGGGTCCCGGAGGTGCTCGTACTGGGAGTTCTGGAGCTGCTGGACCTGCGGGTACTTCTGGAGCTGGAGTTGTTGCGGGTGTTGGCGCGGAGGCTACTGCTGTCGGTCCTGGAGGCGGTCCTGCTGGGGGTACTACTGGTGCTGCTGGGGGTTCTGGAGCTGGAGCTGCTACTGGTGCTGGTGCTGCCCCTGCGGGTGCTGGTGCTGTCCCTCCTGTGTCTGGAGTCGCCGCGCGGCCTCGGCCGTACTTCGTTCCGCTCCTTCAGCAGGTTCTTGGTCTCCCGCCTTCTACTGGTCCTCCTCCTCCCTTAGAGTGTCCACAGCCTGTCCCGTCGCAGTTACAGTTACAGCCGGCCTCCCCACTGCCTGCTCCGTCTCCCTACACTGGTCCTACTGGAGGTCTTGCTGAGCGTCGTGAGCCTGCGTCTCGCCCTGCGTCGCCTGTCCGTGCTGCTCGCACTAGTGGTCGCGGTTCGCGTCAGCGTCCTCCTCCTGTCCCTGGCACGCACCGGATGTCTCTGCGTCCGTCCACTGCTCCTCTGCGTGCCCCTTTGCCTTCTCCTCCTGAGTCTTCTCTTCCTACTCTTGCCGACCCGGAGTCGGACTCTCTTCGCGCTGCCAGTCCTACTGTCACGCGTCTCCTTGCTACGGTTGTCACTGACCCTTCCTTTGAGTCCACTGCTGCGTCTGCTCTAGTTGCTGAGCTCGTCGACTTTGCTGCTCGCTGTCGCCTAGACTACGTCGCCAGTCTTGTTGCTGAGTCTGAGTCTGTCTGTCCTCCGTCCGTCGGGGGTGAGTGTGCCCTTGGCACGGACGTCCTTGAGGACAGGCAGGAGGAGTTCCAGTGCTTGGCCGCTGCTTCACCTCATCTCGTGTCCGTACTGCTTACCCCTGAGGGAGACCCGGATGCACTTGACATCCCGACTCCGCGCTCTTACGCGGAGGCGATAGAGGGTCCCTACTCCTCTCAGTGGCAGGCAGCTATGGACGCAGAGATGGCTTCCTGGAAGTCCACAGGCACCTACGTTGACGCTGTTCCCCCTCCTGGGGCGAACATCGTCAGTGGCATGTGGATTTTCAGGGTGAAGCGACCGCCGGGTTCTCCGCCTGTCTTCAAGGCGCGTTACGTGGCTCGTGGCTTCAGTCAGCGGCAGGGAGTTGACTACTTTCAGACCTTCTCTCCCACCCCGAAGATGACCACTCTTCGGGTACTGCTGCACGTAGCTGCTCACCGTGACTACGAGCTACACTCTCTTGACTTCAGCACTGCTTTCTTGCAGGGCAGCCTGCACGAGGAGATCTGGCTGCGTCGCCCACCTGGCTTCACTGGGTCTTTTCCTCCTGGCACCCAGTGGAGCCTACGGCGGCCAGTCTACGGTCTCCGCCAGGCACCGCGTGAGTGGCACGACACACTGAGGACTACACTTGCGGCTCTTGGGTTTGCTCCCTCTACTGCCGACCCGTCGTTGTTTCTGCGCACCGACACTTCTTTGCCGCCGTTCTACATCCTCGTGTACGTCGACGACTTGGTCTTTGCCACAGCTGACACTGCTGGACTAGCCCACGTGAAGTCCGAGCTGCAGAAGAGACACACGTGCACTGACCTGGGTGAACTGCGCAGCTACCTTGGCTTGCAGATCACTCGGGACAGAGCACGCCGCACCATTACCCTGACTCAGTCACACATGGTGCAGCAGGTCCTTCAGCGCTTCGGCTTCACGTACTCCTCGCCTCAGGCCACTCCTCTGCCTACTCGCCACTCGCTCTCAGCTCTGCCTTCGGATGAGTCCGTAGAGTCGAGTGGCCCGTACCCAGAGCTTGTTGGCTGCCTCATGTACCTGATGACCTGCACACGACCTGACCTTGCATACCCTCTTAGCATTCTTGCACGCTATGTTGCTCCTGGGAGACACAGACCGGAGCACATGGCTGCAGCGAAGAGGGTGTTGCGCTACTTGTGCAGTACGTCGGGCATGGGGCTTGTGCTTGGAGGGCAGAGTCCAGTGGTCCTTACTGGGCACGCAGACGCTTCTTGGGCTGACGACCAGGCTACGCAGCGGTCGTCGCAGGGTTACACCTTCAGCCTTGGTTCCGGCTCTGTTTCGTGGCGGGCTACTCGCTCGTCTTCTGTTCTCGGCTCCAGTTGTGAGGCTGAGATCTACGCAGGAGCCATGGCTGCACAGGAGCTTCGCTGGCTCACCTACCTGCTGACTGACCTCGGAGAGTTGCCTCGTTCTCCTCCAGTGCTGTACGTAGACAACAAGGCCATGCTGGCCTTGTGTCGGGAGCAGCCACTGGAGCACAGAACGAAGCACATTGCTCTCCGCTACTTTCTTGCTCGTGAGCTGCAGCAGCGTGGTCAGCTGCGTCTTGCGTACGTGGCCTCTGAGGCCAACACTGCTGATATCTTCACCAAGGCACTTGCGCCTTGTGACCATCAGCGCTTCTGTACTCAGCTGGGCCTTGTGCCTACCTTGCCTCACTTGCTCACCTCTTGATCTTGCTTGTACTGTTACATATATATATACCTGCTCTTGTTTGTCTAGCCTTTTTATATATATGTGTACTCCTGCTTGTGAACTGGCCTTGTGGCCTTGAACTTGTGCTCGGAATGTGTGGTGACTTTGTGATCCACCCTGAGCTTGTTTTTTGCTTTGCTTTGCTTGACTGGTCTTGTGACCCCTTGTTCTCCCCCACTTTGCCTATGGGGGTGTGTCAGATTTATATGACATAGCTACTGTAGGCTAGAGTGGGGTAGCACATATGGGGTACAGTTTTCTAGGGTTTGCTTCTTGTACCCAACTTTCACTTAGTCATTCTCATTCCTGTTTTTCTTGATTCACATTAATGGCCGTCGGCCCGGCGACGATGGTTGATGATGGACAACAGTCCATCGCCCCGAACAAAAGGGACCGTTGTCGGCTTGTTCGTTAAGACATACAGACGGAGATATATATAGTTGCACATTAAGACACAGCAGGAGGTGTCACATATTAATGTTTTTTTTTCATAGATTATTACTTATAGGCGAACTCGGTGAAGCCTATATACTTCATTTACCATCCTACTTGGCCTGTACCGAACTCAACTAAGCCAGGATGATCCCTTTTGAAAAAAAAAATCGTATAATTGGATCATTTTTTGGCAAGTCAATGCCACACAGGGTTGGCGGGAGCCCCATTTGCGTAGAGTGTGCACGACTGCTTGACAGTGCATTCGAACGCGGATGCGATGATGTTTTGTATGGTTTGCAAGTGTATGCAACGCACAACGAGTTCCCTCAACATTGTGTTGCATACTAAAGGTGGTGAGAAGTTTTCGTGACATACGAGCACTTGCTTAAGATGAAATGCTTAAATCTTGGCAAATGTGATGCCCCAAGCATGTTCATTAGCATCAACCTGCATAACACTGTCAAACTGGTGATTCAGGGGGGGATATGGCATCGTGAAAGTGATGAAGCTATTGCCGAAAAAATAACCCATTCGTCTCTGTTTGCCCCATATTGGCCTATAACATTGAAGGTGTGGATCATGCGATATATTTTTTCTTATTGTATTGTTGTAGCCAAGAAATGTTTCTTGAAGGTTTAGAGCTTCAACATAAAAAAAAAAAAGAATCTTTGTGACCCGTATGAAGGTTAGATTCTTGAAGTTGATCATGAATGTTTTTTTTTTTTTTTTTTTGAAGGACGTAATACGCATACAATGTACACATCCACAGTCAATTAAGCTTTTGCCATAGAGGCAGATTGAAATGGAAAACTAGTGTATTGGTATTTGGGCTGCTTTGTTGTTACCGTTTGCTAATCATGAAGAAGGTCCAAGAATCACCACATTTCCCATCACGATTTGTCGGGACTAGATGACGTGCCAGTGCACCAGAATTAATATTTTCAGTTTTTATTGTTTTTGCACTCCTGGAATTCCAGTAGGGCGAAAATGGTATTTCGTTTGAAGCGCTTAGTGTTGCACACAGGGAAACTTCTCTGGCACCACGGAGGGCTCTTCTGAAAGTCATGGGCCACTATTTTCCGGCTTGGGGTATATTTGTCATAACTTCTCTTAGCTTTCGAAAATCCTCATTCTTGACGCAGACCTTGGCGTAGGTTCCAGCATTTTCAGACCCCCCACCAGTCGAAGCTCCGTCGACTGACACCCTACAGTGGCAGGAACAACCTAGGTCACACCTCGAACCTGGCAGGGTCTCCCAAAAAGTTGGTGTATCGTAAATCAAGATCCTTTTTTCCCTGCGTCGTACGACTCTGTCTGTTGTGCAAAATCAGGTCAATTTTGACGTTGTATGCTTTCCGAAAGTTCAGCGCGATGCTACATGGCATAAAGCGGTTCAGTACGTTATCATAGTTCAGGTGCCCGCGTTGTCTGCATGCACGTCACCATTGCTTCACTCTTGCCTTCCTCCCTTCCCTTGTGCCAGTCCATAAAGTCCTGTCGCCTTTGGACGAGTTTTGATCCTTGCTGCTCCGATTCCAGAAGTGTTGCACATTTGCATACAGTACAGTACTGCAGTTCCTCTCAGAAGAGAAGGCAACTCGTCTTGGCTGCTCAGCTTGATGTGAGTTGCTCTCATAAGTCCACTCACAGCAGCCTCCCGCAAGCCCCTCGCTTTCTTGTAAACAAGAATGGCTAGCTCTCCTCGCCATTCTCCCTGATTGAAAATCACGAAAATGCGTTTCTCGTTTTCTTTCGGTTGTCGTAACTGTCCAGTAACCTAATGATCTAGAGCCGGGATAAGGCGGTTCAGCGGTACGACGATTCAGCTTCTCCCTGTTCCTAAGGCTGAGCTCCCTGCCCTATTTCTCGTTCTTCCACTCACACTTTAAGAGAGGACAGTTAATTGCCGCGCTCGTCCACGAGTTTTTTTCGCTCACAATTAGTAGCAACCCGACTTTCATTCCGTATCCGCTTTTGCACGATGCAAACAACGCGGGACCGCCGTCCCGCGCACGGCGCAATGCTTACGTTTCAGCAGCAGCAGCAGCAGCAGCAACAGCAACAGCAGCAGCAGCAGCAGACAAACAAAGCGTCGCAGCTCATTCACAAGCTTCACCAGCCCAACGCCCTCGAGTCACGCCAGCAGCAGAAGATCCTTAATCTCCAGCACAAGCTGGCCGCCGCTCCAGGCGCCGCCGGCCCCGTTAGTCCCGCTGGTAACCACCCGTTCGTCCCGCCGAATGTTGCGCAGCCTCGGCGCCCCACGACGCCGACAATGGGCAGCGCGATAGGCGGCGCAATGGGCGCCGCGGTCGGCGGCGCCATGGGCGGCGTGTCGCACCTTTCCAACTGGCTGAACGAACTTCCCGCGAAAGCCGCGCGCCAGGTCGGGGGGGAGCAACGAGGGAGGCCGGCGGCGGGGATTGGCGGAGCGGAGGAAGGCGGCGGGGTTGCGCGGAGCAGGTCGAAATCCCCGCTGATGGTTCGAGCTATTTCTCGCGATGGCGGCGGCGGAAGCGCCGTTGAGCGGAGCCGCTCCAAGTCCCCCATTCTCTTCCGCGGGGCCTCTGTTCCTGATGCTCCTGGCGGGGATTTCGCGGGCGGAGGTTTCCCCCGCGCGGATTCCGCCCGCGCAGGGGTGGGGAACATGCGAGGAGGGCCACAGCCGTCGCTGCAGCGAATGCGCACGCCTGAGGCGGAACGGCCTGGCGGACCTGTTAATCAGGCTCGGCATGTCCGGGTGAGCGGCTCGGGTTCTGGAGGTTCGGGGTCCGGAGGGTCGGAATCTGCAGGCTCGGGATCTGGAAGGTCGGGAACACGAATGCCCGCGCAAGCCGCGCGCAGTGGGTCGGGGGAAGGGGAAGAGTGGCGGGTGGCGCGGGACGGCAGCGGCCGAAGCTCTGCGGGCGGCAGCAGTAGGGAAGGCGACAGCGGACGGCACGGCGGCGGCGGCGGCCGGCAGGCTGGTGGCAGCAGCCGGTCGCATGGGGGCAGCGGCCGTCAGGAAGGTGGTAGTGGCCGTCAGGAAAGCAGTAGTGGCCGGCAGGTGAACGCTCGCGGGCGGCAGGAAGTGGGATACGGGCGGCAGGACGATTATGGCATGGAGAGGGAGCAGAATTTCGGGCGGGAACGGAGGGAGAACGGGCGGGGAAGTGGGAGTGATGGCAGCAGTGATGGGAACTGGGAGTTTGTAGAGCAAATTGAGGAGCCCTATAGCGGGGATGGATGGAGGAAGAGAGGAGACGGCGTGGGACGGCGGGAGAGGGATGATTCGATAAGAGATGAAAGGGAAAGGAACGCGATTAGAACGGGTGATGGAAGGAGCGGGAGGAGTGAGAGGAGTGAGAGGAGTGAGAGGAACAGTATGAGGAGCAGTAAGAGTGGGAGTGGGAGGAGTGACGATGCGGATAGTGATTACAGCGGGAGTGGGGCTGGGAGTGTGAGGTATTTTCCGGAAAGAGGGGGGAGTATGAAGAGGCCTACTTGGATGGAGGAGGATGGGGATGACTTTTTCGAAGAGGAGGGAGAGGAGAGAGATGAGAGAGATGAGAGAGAGGAGGGAGAGGAGGGGGAGGAGGATGGATATGAGGGAGAGGGTATGGAGAGGGGAGGTGGGGAGTGGCGCGGTCAACAGACGCGTCAAAGGCAGATTCAATTCGATTTGCCATCTGCTAGCCAGAACAGAGAGGGGGGGCGAGGGGGGTATCAGCCGAGAGTGAGGAACGAGGGACAACGAGTAGGAAAGGGGGTAGGAAGAGGAGGAGGAGAAAGAGGGAGGATTGGGAGAGGGAGGCGAGGGTCGGGCAGGTCAAGTGGAAGCATGGATTCGGTGCCTGAGGGAGAGTGTGAGGATGAGAGAGAGAGTGAGGATGAGGGGGAGTGGGAGGATGAGGGGAGTGACTTGGAAGACGCGGGGTACACAGAGGAAAGGGTGTTGGTGGAAGGGGAAGAGTCTTTGCTTGAGGGTGGTTACCACAAGGGTGGTAACCAGAAGGGTGGTTACGAGGAGGAGGAGAGGCGGCTCTCGGATGTGTCGCTGCAGGGAGTCAAAGGGGACGCAGGCTCGCCTGCTCCCATGCCGCCCGCCCAGGTTTCATACTCTGCTGTATCTACTGCTCCTGCAGCTGGTGATGCGGCTGCTGTGGCGGCTGCTGCTGTGGCTGGTGGTGCTGCTGCTGCTGCTGAGAGTGGTGCTGGTGAACTGGAGCGCAGTGAGACGCTGGCAGAGAGGCAGCGGCGGCTGTATCTCACGTCCCCCTCCTTTGCCTCCATTCTGAACCAGGTGGATGATGAGAGCGACGGGGAGGAGGGGAGGGAAGGGGAGGGAGAGGAGGGGAAGGGAATGGGGAACGCAGCAAGAGTGGTGGCATCTGCAGCGTCTCGGGCAGCAGGTGCTGCTGCTGCTGCGACGGCGGCGGTTGGTGCTGACGGCGCTGTTGATTTTGCTGCTGGTGGTGCTGCTTGTTCTGGTGCTCTTGATGGGGGTATCAGGGTGAGTCCGTTCGGGGTGGGGGGCGAAGGGACGGGAGGGGGGAGGGAGGCGGAGGGTCCGTCTTTGGCTGACGCGTTAGAGGAGGAGAAGCAGCGGCGGCTGCGGCTGGTGTCGCCGTCGTTTGCTTATATTCTAAACGAAGTGGGTGATGACGAGGATGAGGAAGATGAGATAGAGCAGTTGAAAGAGCAGCAGGGGCAGCAGGGGCAGCAGGGGCAGCAGGGGCAGCAGGGGCAGCAGGGGCAGCAGGGGCAGCAGGGGCAGCAGGGGCAGCAGGGGCAGCAGGGACAGCGGGGGCAGGCGCAGCAGGTGCAGCAAGGGCAGAAGCAGCAGCAGAGTGGTGTGGAATCGGAGGAGCAGCGGAGGCTGCGGCTCATCTCTCCATCCTTCGCTCACATCTTAAAGGAGATCGACTCAGACGATGATGATAATGACGATGCTTCTGCTGCTCATGCTAGTGCTGGCGCTGCTGCTGCTGCTGCTGGTGGTGGTAGAGAAAGTAGGGACAATGGGACTGCCAGTAGCAGTGCTGGCGGTGGTGACCTGTCGTTTGACCTCTCTGCTGCGCACCGAAACTCACACTCCACTTGCTCCCTGCCTTCCCCAGTTACCGCCTCCCCCAGAAGCACCTCCCCCGATGCACTCTTCCCCCGCCCTGGCTCCCCCTGGCACAGCAGAAGCTGCTCTGCTTCCGCTGAGCTCTCCCCGCGCCTGTGGGGGGAAGGGCGGGGGGGGAGAGGGGGAAGCGGGGGGAGGGGAGGAGCGCCGGGGGGAAGGGGAGGAGGGAGAGGAGACGGGGGCGATGGAGGGGGTTGGGGGAGGATAGCGGGAGTAGGGGTTGCGAGGATGGGGAGTGAAGGGGGTTGGGAGAGAGGGAGGGGTGGAAGCAACGAAGATATTTCTCTGGCTGGCGGGTTTTCAAGGAGCAGGGAGCCATCGCCGTCCAATGAGGGGCTGCCACGTAGCATGAGTGCAACGGTGGTGGGAAGCAGGAGCAGGGAAGGATCCCCTGGGGAGGCTGGTGGTACTGGCACCGGCACTAGTGGCAGGGCAGAGGGATGGCAGGGAGAACAGGGAGGGCAGGGAGGGCAGGGAGGGCAGTGGGAGCAGGGGGGGCGCAGTCAGCCGCACATACGTGCGAGGGGAGGGGGCTCCCTGGGGGGGTTCACCTCTCCTTTGCCGCGAGCTGCTACTGTTGACGGCAGCAGCATTCCCAACAGAAGCAGGGTGAGCGTTGCCACTGATGCTGCTACTGCAGTCGGGATGCATGACGGTACAAGGCCCAGGGTCCTCCTAGGCTCCCCAGCGGGAAACGCTGTTGGTGCAGCAGCAGCAGCAGCCGGGGGCGCGCATGGGCACACCACAGCAGCCGGGGGCGCGCATGGGCACACCACAGCAGCCGCTCTGATCAGCCCCCGGGAAGTCCGCATGCAGGGGCAGGGGGGGCACAGCTCCCGTCCGTCGCTCGGTCCTTTTGAGGCGCCTCAAAAGGGGCAGGGGGGGCACAGCTCCCATCCAATGCCCGGTCCTGTCTCCCAGGGTGCTCTGCCGGACGGCCGCATGCCTCTCTCCCCGCACCTCGTGCAGCCTCTGGCTCGTGTTCCCGAGAGCAGCAGTGCGGAGGAGGGCGAGGGGCCGTTTGGTGTGCGGGGGATGCAGGGAGGGCGGGTGGGAGGGCAGGTGGGGGGGCAAGTGGGAGGGCGGACAGGCGGGCATACGGGAGGGCGCGGGCTGGCACTGCAGGGGGCAGCGTTTCGGCGGGTGATGCACAAGAGCATGAGCGAAGGGGGTGATGGCACGACGCTCGTTCCGGGGGTGAATCTGGGGCAGTTTGCCGGTGCTGCTGACGTGGAGGATGGTGACGTGGATGGTGGTGACGTGGCAGGGGGTGTATCGCCAGGTGGACGCAGGCTGCAGAGGAGGTATTCGTCAGACGCGGAGAGGCAGCGACAGCGGCAGGAGTGGCAGCAGCAGCATCAAGTAGTAAGAAGGACAGGCAGCGGGGACGTGAGTGCTAGCATGAGTCCCAGAAGCAACTCCAGTGAAAACGCTGTTGGAGCAGGAAGGGGAGTGAGGCCGACAGGGGCGGCTGTTGGGGCTGGTGGGGTTGGTGCGGGTAGTGGGGGGAGGTACCTGGCTAGACACCAATCAGCCGAGACCGAGTCTCTCAATCGGCCAATCAGACGCGGCCACATGGCATCTGTGGATTTCTCCCCTCCTCGCAGCCCGCTTTCCAGAATGGCCCACTCTCACTCTGTTGACTACTCCCCCCCTCACTCCCATCCGCACTCGTACCTTACACCTGAACCTGAGAATGCTACAGGGGAAATAGACCTCTTCCCTCATAATAGCCACCATCCAGTCATGTCACACTCTCATTCTCTAGGCCACTCCCCTCCTACCTCCACAGCAGCTCTGGTCAGCCCCCGAACCGGCCTTGCACCGGGCCAAAGCTCTAGCGCTGGCAATGTGCGGTTTGTGATTCGGAGGAGTGCCAGCAGCACCGTAGGTGGGCCAGGTGGAGCTGTTGCTGGCGGGGGTGGTGCTGGTGGTGGTGATGGTGGTGGTGGGAGCAGTGGCAGTGGCAATGGCAGTGGCAGTGGCAGTGACAGCAGGGGCAACATGAGGCAGAGGACCAAAAGCAGCAGCATCAGTGACATATCCGATGCTCCTCGCTCTGCTCTTGGTGTCACCACCACTGCTGCTGCTGCTGCTGCTGCAAGCGGCCCGTTCCAAAAACGTCTTCTTCGTCCCCCCAAGCTTTCCACCAGAGCGTCCCCCTCCGCCTCCCCCACCACCTCCCCCAGCGATTCCCCCTCCCCCTCTCCTTCCCGCTACCCCTTCCACAAGCCGCAGGGGGAAGCCCCTTCTAAGTCTCCTGTTGGGGGGGAGGGCCAAGGAAGGGGCGGGAGAGGGCAGGGAGGAAGCTTTGACGAAGGTTCCTCGCAGATGCAGACGAGAAGCAAGCAGCCGCAGAGGTTCAGCTCGTCCTCTTCTGCCTCCTCGGCAGGTCATTCTTCAGGTGGTGCTTCAGGTGGCGGTTCAGGTGGCGGTTCAGGTGGCGGTTCAGGTGGGCCACGAACGCCCACCCGCTCCTCCTCGACTTCTAGTGCTGCTGCAGCCCCCCAAGCCCATGGAAGCACACCCCAAACAGCGACTCGAACCTCATCTTCTGCATCCACCGCGTCTGCTCATAACGAGGATAAATGCAGGCCCAGAACTCCGACTCGGGCCTCCTCTGCATCCACCGGATCTGCTCATAACGAGGATAAAGGCAGGCCCAGAACGCCCACTCGTATGCCCGTTTCTGCTTCTGTTGGGTCTGGTTATAGTGGGGAAAAGGAAAAGCATCCTACTCGCATGCCCTCCTCCGCTTCCACTGGGTCTGCTTATAGTGAGGATGTGCAGGCTTCAGGCAAAGGCAGGCCTAAGACTCCTACTTGCATGCCGTCCTCTGCTTCTACTGGGTCTGGTTATAACGGGGATAGCAATCCTTCAGCTGAAAGGAGGCCAAAGACTCCCACCCGAATGCCATCTTCAACCTCCACCGGATCTGGTAATAACGGATCTGCTAATAATGAAGCACAGGCACGACCCAAAACACCAACTCGCAGCTCCTCTGCCGCTTCAGCCTCCTCATCTGGCTCATCCTCCCTACAAGATGACTTGCTAGAAGACGATGCCGCTTTAGAAGAGGTACACCAGTCGTTTTTCCGCGCCAAGGGGAAAAGATTCCTGGAAAAGGCGATGAAGGGGTTTAGTAAGCTCGTGGGAGGAGGGGTGGGAGCAGTGAACATTCTAGGAGGGGAGTATAGGGATGTAGGGGCGTCGTATGCAGTGCAGATGGATAAGGAGCTTGGGTCGGGACAATATGGAGTGACACGGGTGGCGGTGTGCCGAGCCACGGGGGAGAAATTTGCGTGCAAGACAATCAACAAGGCTGCTCTGAAGGTCAGTTTGTTCGCACTGAGTCAAGGTCAGCTCTTTCTTGTTCGCATTTGTTTTTTCAAGGTACCTTCAGTCAATGCCAATCTAACATCAGTCAATGTCAAGGTATTGTCAGTCAATGTCAATGTACCGTCTGTCAGTGTCAAGGTATTGTCAGTCAATGTCAAGGTATTGTCAGTCAATGTCAATGTACCGTCTGTCAGTGTCAAGGTATTGTCAGTCAATGTCAAGGTATTGTCAGTCAATGTCAATGTACCGTCTGTCAGTGTCAAGGTATTGTCAGTCAATGTCAAGGTATTGTCAGTCAATGTCAATGTACCGTCGGCCAATGTTGATGTACGTCTAGTCATTGTTCCTTCAGTCAACGTAGGTTCAGTCATATTCAAGTACCTAAACATTTCTACAAGCTAGTTCCTCATCAGCAGTCATCAGGCTCGTTATCCGCGAGCAGTCACCAGGTTTGTTACTCGGTAGCATTTATCAGGCTACTTGATCGCCAGCAGTCAACAGGTCAGTGTCTCGCCAGCCGTCATCAGGCTTGTTACTCATCTGGTCGCAGTTATCAGGCTACTTTGCTCTCCATCAGTTATCAGGCTAGTTACTCGTCAGCAATTACCAGGCGAATTACTCGTCAGCAATCATAGGCTAGTTACTCACCAACAGTTATCAGGCTAACTATTCGTCAGCAGTCATCAGGTTACTTATTATCCAGCAGCCTTCACTCTACTCGATTGCCAGCAGTGACCAGGCTGGTTACTCGTCAGCAGTCATGGGCTAGTGATTCGCCAGTGATCGTCCGGCTAGTAATTCGCCAGCAGTCATCAGGCTACATAATCGCCAGCAACCATCTGGCTGGAGATTCTTCGCCAGGATTCACAAGGCTAGTTATTCGCCAGTAGTCATAAGGCTAGTTATTCGCCAGTGATAATCAGGCTACTTATTCAGCAGTCATCAGGCTTGTCGTTTTCAGAATTCGCGTCGGGAATCCCTGAATCCGCAGCATGGAATTTGCTTGGATGCAGTCGCGAGTAGAATATGTTACCGTTCGAGCGACAGTATCTTGTGGCTGTTATGAAGTTCAGGCTGTGCGAAAAGGTGTGGCGAATCCTATCTAGATTGAGTCGCCAGTTTCGTGAATCCTGTAACCCTAATCTCGTCGGGCGGGAGTCGGTTGGCAGGAGAGGGTGGAATGGAATGTTTGTGGATTCACGAATTCGACACCAGTCCGTTCGAAGATAGGAAAATCAGGGTCACACGTATCAGCCTATCGAACTTGTCAAGCTCATTCTGTATGCGAAGGAATATGTTAATGAGAATAACAGGCTGAGCCGCAAGGCCGTATGAATACACAAATGTTTACAAACAATATTACATCATTTGCTTCGCCTTTCCATTATTGAATTGGTTTACAAAATTGCCCCATTTACGTTTTGTTGCCTGATTCGCTTCGCCCAATTCACATCAAAAATCAATCTTGCCTCTCTCACCCCTTACTGTTCCCATCCTGTCATCCTTGTTTCTTTCTTTGCAAGCAGAGCAAGACAGATGCGGACGACGTGAGGCGCGAGGTGGCTATAATGGAGATGCTTAAAACGCACCCCAAGGTGGTGCAGCTGAAGGATGTCTTTGAAAACGAGCAGGTGAGAATTTGTGGGGTGTGAGTGAGTGAGTGAATGAGCGATGGGGGTTGAATAAGCCATTCAAGTCAAATCAGCGCCCATCCCAGCAACTTCACGCCCCAATTAACAACCCCGCCTTATCTGCCCCTCAATACCCTCCCTCCCAGATTTGCCACTCAATTCAGCACTTGAAAAAACCCCCCTCCCTTTCCAACTTCCCCCCCTCAAAGGCCGTCCACCTGGTGATGGAGCTGTGCTCGGGCGGCGAGCTATTCGAGCGCATCAAGGAGCGGCGGCGGTACAGCGAGAGGGAGGCGGCTTTGGTGATGCGCGCGGTGCTGGGCGTGCTGCAGAGCTGCCACCAGCGCCACCACGTGGTGCACCGCGACATCAAGCCCGAAAACATCCTCCTCGCCCACCCCTCCTCCCACACCGACGTGCGCATCATCGACTTCGGGATCTCCGCCATTCTGAAACCAGGTACGGGATTCCCCATTTGTTCGTCTGGCTTTTGAGGCGCCTCAAAAGTCACCCTCCTCCCACACCGACGTGCGCATCATTGATACAGGGCTCTCCACTATTTTGAAGCCAGGTACAAGACCCCCCATTTGAGCCATTCTTGAGGATTCTACAAATGGCTCCTCCCACACCCACGTGCGCATTATATGGTTTCGGGATCTCCACTATCTCGAAGCCTGGTACGGATTCCTCCATTACTTCGTCTACACTGCATCTTGCCAAAGTTGCTGACCTATGAGTCACCTTGGATATGTCCAAAGGTCACTTTTAAATTCCTCATTAGCTCTTCTGCACCGCATTCTACCAAACCTTACCACCTTTACCAAACCTCTTCCTCTCCCTCCTCGAAGCCGATCCAGCAGTCATTCTTCTCCAATCCATTCCCTTCTTAGGCATTGCCAGTTTGCTTTATTGCGTGGATGACCATTAGTTCCATTCGACCACCCTCTTCCTCACTCTCACACATTGCAGGTTCAGTAACCCTTCCAGCTCGATTCCTCCTCCCTCCCCCTCCCTTACACCAGGCTCCAAGCCACTGTCTGATTTTGTTGGCTGGCTCTACTACGTCGCCCCAGAGAGGGATTTGAGGTTCCTAAAAGATTGTCTCTTCCCCTCCCTCTTCTTCACACCACCAGGCTCCAAGCCGTTGTCTGATTTTGTCGGCTCGCTCTACTACGTCGCCCCAGAGGTGATCGACGGTTCCTATGGCTTCCCAGCGGACGTGTGGTCGGCAGGCGTTGTCCTATATGTGCTGCTGGCCGGCGTGCCGCCCTTCTGGGCCAAGACGGAAGCTGATGTGACCAAAGCAATCCGGGAGGGGAAGTGGGGGTTCCGGGGTGCTGTGTGGCGGAATGTGTCAGAGCCGGGAAAGGATTTGACTCGCCAGCTGCTGACGCACAACCAGAAGAAAAGAATCACTGCTCGTGCTGCCCTCGGTACGTATTTGCTCTTGCATAAATAAAATGTAGGCTCACTAATCGACCAGTGTACCTGCCTCTTCTTCGGCCCTATATTTCAATCATTCCAGGCACATTCTTTCTCATCCTCCCTGTCCTTTCTGGTCCATGCAGAGCATCCTTGGTTCCGCAAGTGGGATTCGTGAATGGAGCTAAGGTGCGTACCAATACTAAATGCATTTTTGTTCGTAGATGACCATATTTTTAGAATCTGCCAACATATGACAAAATGGCATTTGCACTGAAGTATGACTGGAGGTTGCTTAAACATAACAGCAGGTGACTGGGCGGGAGTCTACATCACACTACTTTTGTTATAACGCGAATTCCAATAGTCTGTACCTCGCTTCCACCTATGCTTGAATCGAGTCGACGATTATCATCCTACTACCGTAAAAAAAGGGCATTTATCTTAGCGGTAACACTCATGGAGCTCGAACGCACGCGAGGTAAGCCACGTTTCCAAATCGTAACAGAGATGTCTTCTCATCGCCACCATGGTAACCAGCATTGCCGAGATGGTCAACATTATTGCCTGAATGGTAATGAACTGTGCATCCGGAAATCCTGGCTGGTAACTTCGCGTTTCAACCAAACTGTACACCGTACAAGTCAGGTTTGACTCAGCAAAACGAAACTGACTGTCCACGTATACACCCACAGAATGTGCAATTCTGTTTATAATACCAGCGCTTACAAACGCAAAACGTTACATGCACGTATTCGATATAATTTCCTATCACTATTACAGCAAGCATCTTAAGAACACTCTGGAGAAACAAATTTAGCCTGACTATTTAAAAACTGGAATTAAATTATCTGTTAATACAGTCCATATCATGCCTTGAATGAATTATTTATTATATCAATAGAATGTTTTAATTCTTATGCAATCATTATTGTCTGTCATATGCAAAATTAGTATTGTTCAAATTGATATTGAAATTATTGTAACTTGGTCTAGCTCCATTTCTTTATAGTCGGAAATATATTTATGAAAGGGTAAAATAAATTGTTTCAAATAATTTATCACTAGGATAGCTTTGCGGTTGACATTGTGTGAGTGTTTTGTTTTGTGGCGTTTGTTTGATAGTTAAGGCTATATGATTGTATGTTTTTTTTTGTTTTTGTTACGGATTACAAGTTTGCATTTCATGGTTTTACTTTTTTTTTTTTTTTTTTTTTTTTTTTTGGTGAGCATAAGTACACTACATGTATACATACACTCGCAGTCGTAACTGATTCTAGGAGGGCATGCAAGTGGCTACAGGTAACCAGGCCCCCCCTTCCACCTTACGGGGGCTGAAAGGCTACACCGCCATCTTCCCATATGGCCTTGAAACCTGCTCTCCACATCATCGAGGCTTCGGTCTCGTACAATCTGTTCAAAGCTTTTGCCTCGTCAGCATTCAGATGACTCCACTCCCCTGTCCTCTTCGAACCACTCTTGCCAGCCGACCGTTTCCGCACTCTGCTGTAAATCTTCACGTGTCTTGTAAAGCCAACCGCTATGTGCCTCAGTGCTCTCTTAGGCTGAAACCGGCTGCCACGGAACACCGCATTGCACCTCTCCAGCCACACTTGCTGTGCTGTAATTGAAATGATGGCTGTTTCCGGAAAACCTGACGACGTGCCACTCTTCTGGAACAGCATGTCTCCGAGGGACTTCATTTCCCTGCCCGGATTCATGCACTGTACCGCACCCTTCATTACCCTGACCACTGGCTGGATCGCCGGGCAGCTGAATAAACAGTGATCCTGCGACTCCACCCCTCCGCAGTACACACATTTCGCCCTCTCCCCCAGGAAAGGGAGCCTCTCCCCCACTTGCAGGTTGTTGCTGTGCAGCCTCAGCACCACCTCCCTCGCTCTGCATGGGGTTGCCAAAGAGTCCCGGACCGTGATGGCCTTCCCCCAATCGATTTTCTTCCCTGTCACCTCCTCCCACCGCAACTGCTGCTTTGGCTGAGACAAAGAGGGTTTCATCGCCTTCCTCAGCTGCTTCAGCCCGGCTCGCTCCCCTTTTTCACAGATCGGAGTGTATAGCAGCCTTGTTCTCGGGGTTCCAAGCGGGCCGCGGACTCTCCCGTCAATGACCGCCATGGGCGTAGCTCGTAGGAAATTCACCGTCGTCACGTCAGCGTACCTCACCACCGATATGAAACCTTTTTTATCCACTTCCACCATCCTCCCGTACAACACGCCGTCTTCCACGTGTTCCAGCTGGTAGTAGAGGAACTTTCCCGGCCGGTAAGACGGTGAGCAAATAAGCGCCGTCTCCCTAAAAACCTCTTCCGCTGTCAATTGGTTGAGTAGCAAATCCCTCCACCTCTGGGGCGTTGCTTCCCATGCTTTGAGAGCCCACTTCCTCTGTTCCGCACCTCCCAGCTCCTGTTCCAGGACCACCTCACTTTTGAGACTTCTGCTGCCATTTGCACCTTTGGCTATCAGGTCCCCCAGACGGACACCCTTCAAACAGTGCGAGCCCGCCTGGTTTCCGAAAGGCGAACCGCCCCTGAAGAATATCTTGCGGTTAAAAAGCAGCTGCTCCTCCTCCGCATCCCATCTGTGTATAGGGTCGCCCATGGTCACGATCTTCGATTCCCACAGCGCCTTCACTGCCGCCTTCCACCTCGTACCCCTGCCCAACCAATGCTTCAGCACTGAGGGATGGGCGTAAATCGTGGCCAGCCCGAGTGGGAAGCCGGCCGCTCTCTCCCATAACCAGTTCCGCAGCGGCACCTGTTCCGTCAGAACTTTTCCCAAATTCTGTATCACAATGCTGTCAATCCGCTGCTTCAGATCAATCACTCCCAGACCCCCTTCTTTCCTTCCCCTGCACGACAGCTCGTAACTCCAAAGGGTGAAGTGTCGATCAAGAAGCGCTCTTCCACCCGAGATGAAGTTGTGACATAGCCGTTTCACCTTGGTCCAGATATCATGCGGCGGGGCGTAGATCTGTGCTTGGAACAGCAAGATCGGCATCGCGTAGCTGTTAATAATTGTGACTCTCGCCGACGTCTTGAGATGCTTTGATTCCCAACAGCTCAGCACCGCGCTGACCTTTTTCAAATGCTTTGTCCCATGCAGGACCCGGCGACCCACCAGATGTTATCCAGATTCCGAGTAACCGCTCCGACTTGTCCTTGTCAGCCCACGTGAAAGGTGACGCTATCGGCTGCAGCCTCCTCCTATTCTTCCCCAGCGGCATCAGTGTCGTTTTGCTGCTGTTCACCCTCAGCCCCGAAATTTCCGCAAATTCGTCGAGCAGCTTTCCCGCTGTAACCACTTGCTCCTTCCCTCTCAGAACGAGAGTCGTATCATCAGCGTATCCGATGTAGGCTAGCTCCCCCTTCACCCCCCGTTTCCGAACTCCCAGATTTCTCCTCCCTATTTCCTGGCAGAGTGGCTCCACCGCGCAAAGGAAGAGATACGGGGCGAGCGGACAACCTTGTCGCACACCCTTGTCCATCGCCACACGATCTCCTACCCAACCGTTCAGCAGCATCTTGGTTGCTGCTCCGTCGTGCAGACCTCTTACCCAGCGCACATATTTCTCCGGGAAGCCCATGTCACCCAGCGTCTTGAACAGGTAATCTCTCGACACGGAATCGTAAGCTTTTTGAAAGTCCACCAGTAGCAGCAGCCAATCTTCATCCTCCTCCTCCGCAGCGTCAATTACATCTGCTACCAGCGAGACCGCGTCAGCAAGGCTCCTCCCCGGAAGGAAGCCGAATTGCTTGTCCGAGATCACCCGCGGTAAGACGAGTTTGATCCTGTTCGCCATCACTTTCGCCAGTAACTTGTAGAAGAAGCTCAGCAAAGTGATCGGCCTATAATTGCCCAAATCACATCTGTCTCCTTTCTTGTGTAGCAGGATGGTGACCGCAGTTGTGAACGCCTCCGAGAGTACCCCGGTCGACTCGAAGCCCTTAACCTCCTTCATCACAGCCGGGCCGAGTAGCTCCCAGTGGTGCTCAAAAAATTCCTTCGGTAGGCCGTCTTGCCCCGGGGCTTTCCCCAATGGTAGACCCTTGAGCGCCGCTTTCACCTCCTCTTCTGACCATTCCGCTCCTAGTTGCAGTTGGTCCTTCTCCTGCAGCATTCTGCTCTCATCTATTGGCCACGGCTCCATGGTATGGTTTGGCGCTGACTCCGCATACGCTTCTCTGAAATGCTCTGAAGCCGCCTGCAACACCTCTTTCGCCCCTTTCCTTTGCACCCCCTTGAGTACTAACTCCAGAATCTCCGTCTTTGCCTTTCTCGATTTGACCAGCCCCGACAGAAAACCGGAGGGCGTCTCGCTCGCCAACTCCATCAGCAGCCCCGTCATGACCTGCAGCCGCTCCTTGTTACTGTCTTGATAGAGTTTGAGCGCTGCTTCAGCCTTGACCAGCTCCTCGTACAAGACTTGCGATTTCGCGTCAGCCACCACTTTCCACCGCAGCTCTTCCACCTTCTGCTCCAAATGTGCCAAGGTCGCTCTCACCCTCTTCCTCTCTTCTGCTACATGAGCCCGCATGCATGCTCGCAGGTTCATCACAAGTCTCTCCAGGCTTTGATCTGAGCTGCTCTCATGCGCCGCCACCGCCGCTGAGATGATGTTCTTGACCCCATCACCCCCGGGCCGAGACGTTTGGTGCCTCCACAAGCCAGGACCATGATCATCCGCTGCCGCCGCCTTGAGCGACACCTTCACCGCAAACCAGTGGTCAGTCAGACCGTAGGGTACCATACAATGCTTCGCCTCCGTTACACTTCCGAGCAGGGAGAGTGAAACTAATGCCCTGTCAATCCGTGTGCTCGTCCTTGCAGATCTGGAGAAAAATGTAAATTCCTTGCGCGTCGGGTGAAGACTCCGGAATGCATCCTGCAGATCCCATCTCGAGCAAATCTGCAGAAGTTTCTGGTTCTCCGCCGGAGTCCCCAGCTTCAAGGACTTATCCAGCTCCGGAACTGCTACAACATTCAGGTCTCCTATGAGGACTGTATGGGGGGAGGCGTCCAGGCTTTGTACGAAGGGGGATAGCTCATCCTGGAAGAAGATACCCCTAGCGGTTGCCTGCGCCGGTAGATACGCTGCCACTATTCTGCACTTCAGATCCCGCCAGGATACCAGCAGGCTCAAGAGTCGACCAGATGCATGTTTGCTGACTTCTGTGAACCGCATCCCAGGCAGGAAGCCTAAGACCGCTACCCCTCCTGCTCTCTGCGATGGGCCAACCACCGCCTGAGCCTCTGATCTACTTTGCGTCCAGAAATTGTGATCGGCTGGAACACGCGTATCTGTGAGTACTACAATGCTCGCTGCTTTCCTGATCCATGCTGCACACCGTTCTTGTTTCCCGCTGCTATCGAGCCCGTTGATGTTGAGCTCGAGAATAGTTAGGTTGTTGTGCTTATTCATTTGACCACTCCTTTGAGCCCCACAGCATCCACGGGCGATTGAGTTTTATTGCGACGATACAGCCAGCTACAGCGAAAGAGAGCATGGCACCGACTACACAACCTGCTCCCAGAAACCATCCTGTTGCCTCCCCCCCTCTCATCGAGGTGCACGTGACCAGGCCGCTGTTCACTTCGCTGACTGCTTGACAATGAAGTCCTTCTTGAAAGCAGCCATCTTCTGGGAATGCTTGCTGGCGCGGGTTGCCGCTCCTTCCGTTCGCAGACCCCCCTTGTGCTTGGCAGATGCAACGTGAGCCGCTGCTTGTTCGAACCGGTTCCCCTGTGCCTTCTCGCACACGGTCTGCACACACACCCACTCCTCCCGCATCCCTCCTGTGGAGGTGAGAATAACTGCAGGATCTTTCAGGATACGTTTCAGGAGGGTGGTGGCTTTCATGGTTTTACTGTCTGAGATTGTAAACGCCGGTATTATAAACAGAATTGCGCATTCTGTGGGTGTATACGTGGACAGTCAGTTTCGTTTTGCTGAGTCAAACCTGACTTGTACGGTGTACAGTTTGGTTTGGAACGCGAAGTTACCAGCCAGGATTTCCGGATGCACTGTTCATTACCATTCAGGCAATAATGTTGACCATCTCGGCAATGCTGGTTACCATGGTGGCGATGAGAAGACATCTCTGTTACGATTTGGAAACGTGGCTTACCTTGCGTGCGTTCGAGCTCCATGAGTGTTACCGCTAAGATAAATGCCCGGAAAAAAACAAACCTATGGCAGTCTGACACGGGCCTCACTTGGCTTCCCGCTGCTTCAAGAGCCAGGCTCGATTGGCCGAGCCGTAAAGAACTGACCACCTAGGCTCGGTATTGGTTAAAATGTTTCACAATCTATCCAATCATATCGCGCCCGTTCCGAACTGCAACAGAACTTTTTTTCGCAATCGCCGCATGCCGCCTTAGGTTGTGGGACAGCAGGGAAATGCGGCCAACCGCCGTCAGTTCCACGACCACATGGGCTCATGTGATGTAACCAGGTCCTCTTGACCCAGCTTTGACATGTGCTGGTCGTCACCCGTGTCGAATTGTGGCCTCTCAGATTTCTCATCCACCCATGGATGGTCCACGTGGCTCGGATCCATTGACGTTAGTGCCGATCTGACGCTCGCTGCACCTCCGTCACGCCTCCGTCAGCTTCCCTATTTGGGTAGTTTGCCAGGTCGAACCTCCTAATTTTCGAGAATTGTTCAAAGCTTCTTTCCAGGTTCTCCCATTCCTCTTAAGACTACCAGTTTCAACAGCCTGTATGCTGTAACAGCAGACGACCACGGGGTATGAGAAAGCTGGCACCACCTTAACGTCTGTTAAGCAATGCTTAATCAACCCAAGTACCGACGCTATATGTTCGATAAGAACGCTCTTCTTTAGCTACCCTTCCAAAAGATTCAGTCAATTGTTCGTTGCTGATCTGGTTTGGTGCTCCCTTCTTTCTCGTGCCACACACAAAACCCCTCCCCCGAATATCGAAGCCTGTTCCGAGCGACTTAACCGTCTTCCATCTTACTGCACCGTACAGCATCTGTGTAGACAGTTTTATTATCCCACTTCACACCAGCTGAAGCAGCACAGCACAACCATGCCTTCTCCCACACAATTCGGAGTCCCCCTTTCTCCCTTCCTGATTCCCGTCACCAACACTACTTGCATTGCGGCAATTGCTCGAACTCCCCAGCTGAGCTGTAACAACTCGCGTTTCCCTGCCCTCAGCTATTCGCTGCGGCCTTCCCTTATCTTGTGCAGGTGGCAACCTTAGCCATTTGCAACGCGACGAGGGTGAGAGAGAGGTCGATCAGCAAGGCAAGCTGGGTGGAGCTCAGTCCGTATTATATCTGCACTGTACCTGGACGTAGTCTTGCAATATCAGCAGCTGTCGCCACCCGCTTTCGCTGATCGTGCGAACTGCGAAGTAGAAAGTACAGGACACGCGGTGGTGGTTATTCATTATTTACCGCATTGCGTTTATTTACCTCGTCACGTCTATTTACCTTGTCATCCCTTGCCTTCTGGCATTGTTCGTCCTCACTAACTAGCTTCGTAGTATCGTGTCTGCCGTTCGACCGGAGCATCAACTCAGTCCGCGTATCTCGCATTTGCCTGAGATCCCCGGGTAGACGAACAGATGTTTTCTAATAGATGCTGACATCAGCGGGCTTTACTAAGCGCAGCCAGCATGCTATGGCAGCATGGCGAATCGAGCACGTGACCACCAGGAATGACCGCAAAGACAAGACATGGCGCATCCTTGCATTCCTGCCTCCCACCTCTCCCGACATTATTAGTAAAATCTAGTAACAAAGACCTTGCATTTTGTATCGTCACTCTTCGCGACGCCGTCCGTCTCTTCGAGTATTGACTACCTGTTTGGAAGTCCGTCAGTTAGCATCGTTTCCAGCCTTCGGACGCCTGATTACGCGTCATATCGGATCACACCGTGTCGTATCTGATCATATCGGATCGGATCATCTAGGAAGGTCCGCATTGTTTAGGCCCTCTCTCATCCATGACCGCACAAGTCGCATCCATGTCCGCCGTCGCGTCGCTAGGAGTCACCGTCAAATCCGCCTCGACATCCGCGATCAGCGAGGGCTCTGTTTATACCGACGATGCCGTTTCCACTCCGATCACCGGCGGCATTCCCGAGGGCTGGCCGGTGAACGCCTCTACGGAGATGCCGGCGGAAGCGGCGGCGGCGGATCCGGTGGTTCGGTTTACGGTGGCCGAGCAAGTGAAGAAAGGCGAGGACTTTCACATGGCGCTCGCCAACTATCGGCTAGGCGGCGTCAACTGCGGCGTGTACTGCGTAAGCCCTGTTCCGGCTGTGCTTGTCTGTGTGTTTGTTTCGTGTGTGTTCGTTGTGAGGTTTGCCGTAGCGTCGCGGTAACTTTCGCATGATTTTTGAGTCGACTCAAAAGTCACCTGGTTTGCTGTAGAGTTGAGGTGGCGGATCAAGTGACGAAAGGCGAGGTATTTCACATGGCGCTCGCCAACTATTGTCTAGGCGGCGTCAACAGCGGCGTTTACTGCGCTCGCCATCTCCAGTTCCCGCCGTGTTTCTCGGTGTATTCATTGCAGCGTCAACCACCCCCTCCTCCTTCACTCCCCTTCACACCCCTCTCTCCCCCTCCGCCTCCCTTCCCTTCCCCCTCGCCCCCCCTCATCCTTCCTCCTCATCTCCCCCTCTCCTTCCCCCCCACCTCCCCTTCCCCCATCAGGTGTTCGACGGGCACAACGGCACGGCGGCAGCCATGCACTGCAAGAAGGAGCTGCTGGGGTTTGTGAGCGAGTACCTGCCCGGGGGGGCATCGTACCGAGAGGAAGCGGGGGAGAAGGGCGAGGAGGGGGAGGTCACGAGTAAACCACGCGATGGGGAAGGCGCGGCCGTGCTGGAAAGTGGCGGCGGCGGTGGTGGAGGCGGAGACGGGGGAGGGGGAGACGGGGGAGGGGGAGGAGGAGGAGGGAAGAGGGAGGCGTGGTTGAAGGCGCTGCCGATGGCGCTGGCGGAAGGGTTTCTCAAATGCCACAACACGTTCGCCCTGCGTGAGTGCCGCACGCTCAAATGTCCCACGCTAACGCCTTTTCAGTCTCTCGCCTTGCCTCCCCTGCTCCGCCCCCCATCGTCGTATTCCCTCGGCATGTCTCCCACTGACCGAACAACCTCCCTCCCCCTTCACATTCCATTACCAGGGGGGCAACCATCAGGAGCCACAGCAACGATGGCGATTGTCTCGGGATGGACCGTCACAGTGGCAGTTGTTGGGAACTTGTGGGCTTTCCATACGACCGATGCCCCCCAACGACCCACTATTCTCCGCCCTGCTTCCCTCCCGCTCTCCTGTCACCAGGGGGCCAGCCGTCCGGAGCGACAGCAACGGTGGCGATCGTGTCGGGATGGACGGTGACAGTGGCAGCAGTGGGGACTCTTGGGATTGTCGCACCCTCCTTTGCCCCCACCCCTCCCACCCTCTAACTCAACCACCCGGTCTCCTCTTCTCCCAACACCAGGGGGCCAGCCGTCGGGAGCGACAGCAACGGTGGCGATCGTGTCGGGATGGACGGTCACAGTGGCAGCAGTGGGGGACTCGCGTGCCATCCTGGACACCACTGGAGGGGGCGTGACGCCTCTTTCTTTGGACCACCGATTCGAAGTGTCAGAGGACGAGTGAGTGGGGTAGGAAGAGAGGGGTAGGAAGAGAGGGGCTTTCAGAGGATGAGTGAGTGGGGAAGAATGGGGGGCTTTCTTGGCTCGGCCTACCTAAAGGTAGCAGTGGGGGACTCGCGTGTCATTCTGGACACCTCGGGGGGGGCGTGACTTCCCTGTCGCTGGACCACCGATTCGAAGTGTCAGAGGACGAGTGAGTGGGGGAAGAATGGTGGAACGAGAGAGGGAGGGGGGGTTGTCTCTTGATGTGCTTCAGTGGAAAGGTAGCAGTGGGGGACTCGCGCGCCATCCCGGACACCACTGGGGGGGGCGTGACGCCTCTTTCCCTGGACCACCGATTCGAAGTATCAGAGGACGAGTGAGTGGGGGAAGGAAGGGAAAAGGGACTCTTGATTTGCCATCTCACCGAAAGGTAGCAAAGCAGTGGGGGACTCGCGCGCCCTCCTGGACACCACTGGGTGGGGCGTGACACCCCTGTCGCTGGACCACCGATTCGAAGTGTCATAGGACGAGTGAGTGGGGGAGGAAGAGGAGAGGAGGGGGTGTTAGGGGGGGGGAGTGGAGAAGGGAAAGGGCTAGTGAGATATTCTTGGAAGATTGGCGGGTCATTCTAACCTTGAGGTAGCTTTGGGGGACTCAACATGGCGCTTCTGACCTGTGCTGCCCGTGCTGCCCGTGCTGCCCTGTCTCGCTGCCCTGTCTGTTGAAACCACCTGAACAGGTGCAACAGAGTGCTCAAGGAGGGCGGCCAACTCGCCAGGCTTCGGACCTTCGATGGCACGCAGGTGTGTTGTGAGTGTGCTCAGGTGTGTTTTCAGGTGTCTCAAAGTGTGTTGTCAGGTAGGTAGGTGTAATACCAGATGTGTTGTCATGTGTGCGTGTGACCTTATAGGTGTAATACTAAGGATGAATTTTACTGTTGCAATCAAAGTACTGATGTTACAATGCCACATGAGGTGGGAAAAGGTTTCAAGACAGTACTACCGTCATCGCTCATATAGTAGACATATGTGTCTTATCTTATACTGGTTGAAAATGTGTATGGCTATCTTGTAAACGGAAGGTTATTGGTGTCTTATCTCATATTATTGTGTACATATGTACAAATGGATTTCTCATAATGAGTGTGGATGTCCCAAAGCTTCCGATTCCGGCAACCATTGCTGGGGACGCCACCTAAGGAAGAATGCCTTCTGAGGTCGAATTCGGAGTTTCTGAGTCAGCACGTCTCGTTTTGCACAGATAGAAACGTACGCTGTTTTATAATTTTCACTGTAGTACATCACGGTTACGATTATAAGACATACATCTTATCTTACACTGGTAAAGGGGTCCCTTATAAAAGGGAGTCCCCTTTATAAGAATATACCCCAATAAAAGACAACTATGTCTTTAATTCGACATAATCTTCTATATGGGAGCTTACGGTATGATTGTTTTTCCTCCTTCCCCTCCGTCTTCCCCATCTCCCCCATCTTCTTTCGCCTGCCCGAATCTACAGCTGGGCCCGCTGCGCAGCTGGCCAGGGGGGCTGTCTGTGTCGCGGTCGATAGGCGATGTGGACCGTGGCACGTCAGAGTTGACTCAAAAGACATTTCTTCCCTTCTTCCCCTCCTTCCCCTCCCCGCCGTCCCTTCCTCCTCACCCCTGCAGCTGGGCCCGTTACGCAGTTGGCCGGGAGGGCTGTGTGTGTCACGGTCGATAGGCGATGTGGACTGTGGCACGTTCATCACGCCGCTGCCACATGTCAAGCAGATCCAGGTGAGTGTTGAAGAGCTGCGGAGGGATGCCCATGCGGTCTGTGTGTGTGTGTTCATTTGCGGAGTATTTTGCTGGTGTGCGGGGGTGGGAGGCGATGTGGACTGTGGCACGTTCATCACACCGCTGCCACACATGAAGCAGATCCAGGTGGGTGAGAGAGGGGTGTGGAGTGGGTGTGGAGGGGGTGTTGGTTGGCACACTGTGTGTTCGTGTGTGCGAGGCGACGTGGACCGTGGCACGTTCATTACGCCGCTCCCGCACGTCAAGCAGATCCAGGTTTGTGCGAGAGGGTGTGGAGGGCTGTGGGGGCAAGAGGGATGGAGTAATGTCTTGATGTGGGAGGTGATGTGGACTGTGGGACGTTCATCACGCCGCTACCGCACGTGAAGCAGATCCAGGTGGGGAAAAGGGTGTGGTGGGATGTGCATACAGTGTGTTGTCGAGCGTGGGTGTGGGGGGGGGGGGGGGAAGGAGGGAGTAGTGTGTTGGTGTGTCGGTGTGGGAGGGGCGTCAACTGTGGCGCCTTGATCACGCCTCTGCTACATGTGTAGCAGATACAGGTGGTGAGAGGGGGAGCGGAGGAGGTGGGGAAGAGGTGTGTTTGCGTCACGCAAATTCAAGCGGATGTGGTGAGCAGGGGCGCTATGGGAGGGAAACAGGAACGGTGTATGTAGACGAGGGAAAGCGAATGCACAAGTGTGCATGTGTGCGTGTGCCCCTCTGTGCCCCTCTATGCCCCTCTATGCCCCTCTGTGTCCCTCTATGCCCCTCTGTGCCCCACTGTGCCCCTTTATAACCCTTTATGCCCCTCTGTGCCTCTCCTCTCTCCAGGTCCCCCAGGCGGGAGGCAGGGTGGTGATGGCGTCTGACGGCCTGTGGGATGCAGTAGACTCAGACAAGGCTTCATGTGTGCCCCTCTGTACCCCTCTGCGCTCCTCTGTCTCCGCGTTGGCCCCTTCCCCCCCTGCCTATTTCATCCAGATCCCCCAGGCGGGAGGCAGGGTGGTAATGGCGTCGGATGGGCTGTGGGACGCAGTGGACTCAGACATAAGTGCATGTGCGTCCCTCTCTGCCTCTCTGTACCCCTCTGTACCCCTCTGTGCCTCTCCTCTCTCCAGGTCCCCCAGGCGGGAGGCAGGGTGGTAATGGCGTCGGATGGGTTGTGGGACGCGGTGGAATCAGACAAGGCCGCCCGGCGATGCAGAGGGCTGCCCTGCACCGCTGCTGCGCCATTGTTAGTCAAGGTATGCTGGGGCGCTCGGTTCTGCGCGGTAATGTGCGGTGCTGCGCGGTGGTGTGAGGTGGTGTGAGGTGTTTCTTGGTGGTGTGCTGTGCGGTGCTGCTCTCGTGGGACGCAGTGGACTCAGACAAGGCCGCCCGGCGATGCAGAGGGGTGCCACCCCTCCTCTGCATGCCACCACCACCCACTCCCTTCCCCACACTCCTCTGGAGCCCTTTTAAGGCCAAAGGCAAGGCCTCAGAGGCAACGTCTCAGTGCTCGTGGTGGGCCTGCTTGCCACCTCTAACGCCTCTAACGCCTCTCTCTCCCTCGGCACACCCCTCTGCGTACCTCTTCACACCCCTGCGCACCCCTTCGTACCCCTCACAGGAGTCCATCAAGGCCAAGGGCCTAAGGGACGACATCACAGTGCTGGTGGTCGACCTGCTCTCCGCCTCTGCTGCCGCTGATCCCTCCGCCTGCCCCGTGCCCAAGCCGCCCAGCTCCAAATCCTTCTTCTCCAAGTTCAGGGTACGTTCCATTCCATCGCACTTACTGCTGCCAACTAACTAGTTGCTGAAAGCGCACGTAGGTCCACATGTTTAGGTCAGCCAGTGCTGTTTAGGTGGTGCCGTGCCGCCAAGCCCCCCAACGCCAAGCCCCCCAACGCCAAGCCCCCTCCCCACTTGAGTACCCCTCCCCTCACCCCCGCTCCCCCTTTCCCCTTTCCTCATTCCCTCTTACCCCTTTCCCCCACCCCCTCTCCAACCCCCCGCCCCCGCTCCCCCCTTTCCCCCCCTTCTCTCCCTCCTGTCCTATCAGAGCACGCATGAGTCCAGCTATCTTTCCAAGTCCTCCAAGGGGCCAAGCTCCCTGCCTACCACCACAACCCCAATTATCCAATTGGCTTGAAACCCCCTCCCCCCCGCCTACCCCTCCTCTTCCAATTCCTTTCCCCGTTCTTCCATTCCCTCTAACCGCCTTCCTCTCTCCCCTTCTCCAAATCCCCCCCGCCCCTCACCCACCCCCCCTTTCCCCCACCTTTTGTTTCTCCGCTTCTCCCCTCCCTGTCCAACCAGAGCAAGAGCTATTCCAGCTATCTCTCCAAGTCCTCCAAGAAACTAAGCTCTCTACCACCTACCACCCCAACTTTTCAATAAACTCGACCCCTCTCCCCCCCCCCCCCCCTCTCCACCCACCTCCTTCCTCCCCCCCCCCCCTTCCCCTCCCCTCCCCTCCCCTCCCCTCCTCCATTCTCCCTTTCTCTTTCTGTCCAATCAGAGCAAGAGCTATTCCAGCTATCTCTCAATGTCCGCCAAGGGCTCTAGCTCCCTGGCACCTACCACTCCAAACATGAGTTCACTCCCTTCCCCACTTTCCTCCCTCTCCCCACCCCCTGTTCTCCTTATCCCCCTCCTGTCCACTGTCCAATCAGAGCAAGAGCTATTCCAGCTATCTCTCAAAGTCCGCTAAGGGCTCTAGCTCCCTGCCACCCACAACCCCAAACCCAAGCGCCACTCCCCGCAACCCGTGGGACCAGCGTGTACCCTTTATAATGAACGACCACGACTCGATAAGAGGCGGCGACCTCTTTGAGCGGTATCAGAACAGCTCGGTACACTCGGCGGGTAATTTCTGCGCGGTTTGCGGGGAGCAGATCGACAATTCCGAGAATGCGGAAGCGAGCGTTCGGGCAGGGAATAGGGTGTGTTCGCGGCATGCTAAATGTGCGTAGAGGGGTGGGAGGAGGTGAAATGGAGTGTCGGTGTGGGAAGGGAACAGGGGTTGTTGTTCCCTCCCATTCCTCTGTCCTGAGTCCTGGCACTTTGTGCTTGGAGGGTGGTTTGGATAGAGGGTGCTGGTGAGGCATTTACACAATTAGATCTTCAGGGCTGGGTTTTGCAACTAAGGGTGAGTGTTGCACCTGCAAAGCTGCTCAAGCAGCTTAACTATATAGGCATAAACTTGGAAGTGAATAGCAACATTTACTACCGGTGCCTTGCCTGATATTGATTTCTGTTTAAGATGGCCATGAATAAGCGTACTGTAGTAATGGCATTTCAGTTATGATTTACGGGCTGTACAGGATCATGTTTTTAGTCATAACTCCACAAGTACAGTGGTGCAACTCCGTACAGGCATTGGTTGCTAGATAGTGTTGAACGCATTCAAAGGGGTGTACGGTATTTTATGCAGCTGAAACGTTGAAGCCCCTTTCTTCAAGAAGGTTCAGACCAATAAACCTGTGGGGTTGAGGAAGCAAAAGAAAACAACCAAGCAAGATAGAAAGGAAGAAGACAAACATGGGATGGAGGCAGGAAGAAGACAGACAAACATGGGATGGAGGCAGGAAGAAGACAGACAAACATGGGATGGAGGCAGGAAGAAGACAAACATGGGATGGAGGCAGGAAGAAGACAAACATGGGATGGAGGCAGGAAGAAGACAAACATGGGATGGAGGCAGGAAGAAGACAGACAAACATGGGATGGAGGCAGGAAGAAGACAGACAAACATGGGATGGAGGCAGGAAGAAGACAGACAAACATGGGATGGAGGCAGGAAGAAGACAGACAAACATGGGATGGAGGCAGGAAGAAGACAGACAAACATGGGATGGAGGCAGGAAGAAGACAAACATGGGATGGAGGCAGGAAGAAGACAAACATGGGATGGAGGCAGGAAGAAGACAAACATGGGATGGAGGCAGGAAGAAGACAAACATGGGATGGAGGCAGGAAGAAGACAAACATGGGATGGAGGCAGGAAGAAGACAAACATGGGATGGAGGCAGGAAGAAGACAAACATGGGATGGAGGCAGGAAGAAGACAAACATGGGATGGAGGCAGGAAGAAGACAAACATGGGATGGAGGCAGGAAGAAGACAAACATGGGATGGAGGCAGGAAGAAGACAAACATGGGATGGAGGCAGGAAGAAGACAAACATGGGATGGAGGCAGGAAGAAGACAAACATGGGATGGAGGCAGGAAGAAGACAAACATGGGATGGAGGCAGGAAGAAGACAGACAAACATGGGATGGAGGCAGGAAGAAGACAGACAAACATGGGATGGAGGCAGGAAGAAGACAGACAAACATGGGATGGAGGCAGGAAGAAGACAGACAAACATGGGATGGAGGCAGGAAGAAGACAAACATGGGATGGAGGCAGGAAGAAGACAAACATGGGATGGAGGCAGGAAGAAGACAGACAAACATGGGATGGAGGCAGGAAGAAGACAGACAAACATGGGATGGAGGCAGGAAGAAGACAGACAAACATGGGATGGAGGCAGGAAGAAGACAGACAAACATGGGATGGAGGCAGGAAGAAGACAAACATGGGATGGAGGCAGGAAGAAGACAAACATGGGATGGAGGCAGGAAGAAGACAGACAAACATGGGATGGAGGCAGGAAGAAGACAGACAAACATGGGATGGAGGCAGGAAGAAGACAGACAAACATGGGATGGAGGCAGGAAGAAGACAGACAAACATGGGATGGAGGCAGGAAGAAGACAAACATGGGATGGAGGCAGGAAGAAGACAAACATGGGATGGAGGCAGGAAGAAGACAGACAAACATGGGATGGAGGCAGGAAGAAGACAGACAAACATGGGATGGAGGCAGGAAGAAGACAGACAAACATGGGATGGAGGCAGGAAGAAGACAGACAAACATGGGATGGAGGCAGGAAGAAGACAAACATGGGATGGAGGCAGGAAGAAGACAGACAAACATGGGATGGAGGCAGGAAGAAGACAGACAAACATGGGATGGAGGCAGGAAGAAGACAGACAAACATGGGATGGAGGCAGGAAGAAGACAGACAAACATGGGATGGAGGCAGGAAGAAGACAAACATGGGATGGAGGCAGGAAGAAGACAGACAAACATGGGATGGAGGCAGGAAGAAGACAAACATGGGATGGAGGCAGGAAGAAGACAAACATGGGATGGAGGCAGGAAGAAGACAAACATGGGATGGAGGCAGGAAGAAGACAAACATGGGATGGAGGCAGGAAGAAGACAGACAAACATGGGATGGAGGCAGGAAGAAGACAGACAAACATGGGATGGAGGCAGGAAGAAGACAAACATGGGATGGAGGCAGGAAGAAGACAAACATGGGATGGAGGCAGGAAGAAGACAAACATGGGATGGAGGCAGGAAGAAGACAAACATTGGATGGAGGCAGGAAGAAGACAAACATGGGATGGAGGCAGGAAGAAGACAAACATGGGATGGAGGCAGGAAGAAGACAGACAAACATGGGATGGAGGCAGGAAGAAGACAAACATGGGATGGAGGCAGGAAGAAGACAAACATGGGATGGAGGCAGGAAGAAGACAGACAAACATGGGATGGAGGCAGGAAGAAGACAAACATGGGATGGAGGCAGGAAGAAGACAAACATGGGATGGAGGCAGGAAGAAGACAAACATGGGATGGAGGCAGGAAGAAGACAAACATTGGATGGAGGCAGGAAGAAGACAAACATGGGATGGAGGCAGGAAGAAGACAAACATGGGATGGAGGCAGGAAGAAGACAAACATGGGATGGAGGCAGGAAGAAGACAAACATGGGATGGAGGCAGGAAGAAGACAGACAAACATGGGATGGAGGCAGGAAGAAGACAAACATGGGATGGAGGCAGGAAGAAGACAAACATGGGATGGAGGCAGGAAGAAGACAAACATGGGATGGAGGCAGGAAGAAGACAAACATGGGATGGAGGCAGGAAGAAGACAAACATGGGATGGAGGCAGGAAGAAGACAAACATGGGATGGAGGCAGGAAGAAGACAAACATGGGATGGAGGCAGGAAGAAGACAAACATGGGATGGAGGCAGGAAGAAGACAAACATGGGATGGAGGCAGGAAGAAGACAAACATGGGATGGAGGCAGGAAGAAGACAAACATGGGATGGAGGCAGGAAGAAGACAAACATGGGATGGAGGCAGGAAGAAGACAAACATGGGATGGAGGCAGGAAGAAGACAGACAAACATGGGATGGAGGCAGGAAGAAGACAAACATGGGATGGAGGCAGGAAGAAGACAGACAAACATGGGATGGAGGCAGGAAGAAGACAGACAAACATGGGATGGAGGCAGGAAGAAGACAAACATGGGATGGAGGCAGGAAGAAGACAAACATGGGATGGAGGCAGGAAGAAGACAAACATGGGATGGAGGCAGGAAGAAGACAGACAAACATGGGATGGAGGCAGGAAGAAGACAAACATGGGATGGAGGCAGGAAGAAGACAAACATGGGATGGAGGCAGGAAGAAGACAAACATGGGATGGAGGCAGGAAGAAGACAGACAAACATGGGATGGAGGCAGGAAGAAGACAAACATGGGATGGAGGCAGGAAGAAGACAAACATGGGATGGAGGCAGGAAGAAGACAGACAAACATGGGATGGAGGCAGGAAGAAGACAAACATGGGATGGAGGCAGGAAGAAGACAAACATGGGATGGAGGCAGGAAGAAGACAAACATGGGATGGAGGCAGGAAGAAGACAAACATGGGATGGAGGCAGGAAGAAGACAGACAAACATGGGATGGAGGCAGGAAGAAGACAGACAAACATGGGATGGAGGCAGGAAGAAGACAAACATGGGATGGAGGCAGGAAGAAGACAAACATGGGATGGAGGCAGGAAGAAGACAAACATGGGATGGAGGCAGGAAGAAGACAAACATGGGATGGAGGCAGGAAGAAGACAAACATGGGATGGAGGCAGGAAGAAGACAAACATGGGATGGAGGCAGGAAGAAGACAGACAAACATGGGATGGAGGCAGGAAGAAGACAAACATGGGATGGAGGCAGGAAGAAGACAGACAAACATGGGATGGAGGCAGGAAGAAGACAGACAAACATGGGATGGAGGCAGGAAGAAGACAAACATGGGATGGAGGCAGGAAGAAGACAAACATGGGATGGAGGCAGGAAGAAGACAAACATGGGATGGAGGCAGGAAGAAGACAAACATGGGATGGAGGCAGGAAGAAGACAGACAAACATGGGATGGAGGCAGGAAGAAGACAAACATGGGATGGAGGCAGGAAGAAGACAAACATGGGATGGAGGCAGGAAGAAGACAAACATGGGATGGAGGCAGGAAGAAGACAGACAAACATGGGATGGAGGCAGGAAGAAGACAAACATGGGATGGAGGCAGGAAGAAGACAAACATGGGATGGAGGCAGGAAGAAGACAAACATGGGATGGAGGCAGGAAGAAGACAAACATGGGATGGAGGCAGGAAGAAGACAAACATGGGATGGAGGCAGGAAGAAGACAAACATGGGATGGAGGCAGGAAGAAGACAAACATGGGATGGAGGCAGGAAGAAGACAAACATGGGATGGAGGCAGGAAGAAGACAAACATGGGATGGAGGCAGGAAGAAGACAAACATGGGATGGAGGCAGGAAGAAGACAGACAAACATGGGATGGAGGCAGGAAGAAGACAAACATGGGATGGAGGCAGGAAGAAGACAGACAAACATGGGATGGAGGCAGGAAGAAGACAGACAAACATGGGATGGAGGCAGGAAGAAGACAAACATGGGATGGAGGCAGGAAGAAGACAAACATGGGATGGAGGCAGGAAGAAGACAGACAAACATGGGATGGAGGCAGGAAGAAGACAGACAAACATGGGATGGAGGCAGGAAGAAGACAAACATGGGATGGAGGCAGGAAGAAGACAAACATGGGATGGAGGCAGGAAGAAGACAAACATGGGATGGAGGCAGGAAGAAGACAGACAAACATGGGATGGAGGCAGGAAGAAGACAAACATGGGATGGAGGCAGGAAGAAGACAGACAAACATGGGATGGAGGCAGGAAGAAGACAGACAAACATGGGATGGAGGCAGGAAGAAGACAGACAAACATGGGATGGAGGCAGGAAGAAGACAAACATGGGATGGAGGCAGGAAGAAGACAAACATGGGATGGAGGCAGGAAGAAGACAAACATGGGATGGAGGCAGGAAGAAGACAAACATGGGATGGAGGCAGGAAGAAGACAAACATGGGATGGAGGCAGGAAGAAGACAGACAAACATGGGATGGAGGCAGGAAGAAGACAGACAAACATGGGATGGAGGCAGGAAGAAGACAGACAAACATGGGATGGAGGCAGGAAGAAGACAAACATGGGATGGAGGCAGGAAGAAGACAAACATGGGATGGAGGCAGGAAGAAGACAGACAAAC